ATAATATACTATATTAGTAGCCATCATCAGGTGGCGCCACCATTCACAGAACTCAGTAGATCTTGGTCGATTTGCCTCCGCGCGGTCCACGAGAGGGCGCTGGTGGCGCTGGAGATAATCTAGAGGGCGCTGCTGGCGCGACCACCAGTCTGCTGCTGGCGCGGCTGCGTGCTTGCCGTGTAGGGGGCGCTTCGAGAGTTGACTGGCGGGGAAGAGTGACAGTGCCATCAAATCGAGATCCGACTTTGGAACGATTTCCTTCAGGTGTGGGAGGAATTACTATCTGACGCGAAGGTGGCGCCACCGAGAAACGGCCCTGCCTGGAAGGTGGCGCCACCGAGGAGCGACCGTGCACCGACGGCGGCGCCAGCGCGTTTCTGTTCGCTAGAGATCTGTTGTTGTTTCGGGTCGTTCTATTCTGACGCGACGGCGGCGGCGGCGAGGCGTTCGACACGGGTCGCAGCAGACGCGACGCGTTGTTGGCCGTCGCCTCCGTCACCTCCTCCGATCCCCGCCGCGACGACGACGCCGCCCCTGCAGGAACACAAGCCATCGGCACGGTCAAACCAGCGGAAGCCTGTGTAGAGCGGTCACCGGTGCAGGGCGGCCACCTGTGCAGAGCGGCCACCCGTGTAGAGCGGCCGCATGTCGTTGATGACCACATCCCTCTAGTGGGAGTTACACCGATACCACCTCTGTACAGCAGCCACCCGCCGTTTCCCTTATTTAGGAGTTATACAATGAAACCTCCTCTAGAGAGCGGTCCCATGCCCGTAAAAGCCACGTATAGGTTTCACTGCGTGACTGTTATACGCAGGTTTGATCGTGATTAGCCACTGCAGGCATGAATTACCAGATTTAAAATTTTTTTACCACGTTGAACATAATTTTCTCATACAATTCAAAATTTCGCGGATTAAAAACGCGTTTGCACAATATGCCGAAGTATCATTATCTTACACGTCTGTTTATAAAGTTTTAAGATAAATTCTTAAGAAAAAAAATACAGTAGAAATAGTATTGACTGTATATACGTGTGCGAATAAACTGCACACGAATATTTACCTTGCGCGTTCTTGTGTTTTTTATTGCCTTTGTTGTTACGAGAGTTGCGGACGCATGCGTTTTCTCCCATCAGGTGGCGCTTCCAACCCTCCTCGCCGACG